AAGCTTCAGTCTGGATCCAGAACACCTGAGAAGAGATGATGCCAACCCCTCAGAGGACCTCAGATGATGCCAACCATGAAACAACATACAGAACTACCAAATTTTGCTACCATCTAACTAAGATACCATCTAACTACCATCATATAATAATTGCTGTCAATAGTGTTCATCGTCTGTTTGATTGTCTGTAGTTCTCTAAAAGAGAGGGGTTAAGGGTGGGTTTCTTAAGTAGTGGGGTTATACGAGCCGGTCTAAATGCTGAGGGAAAAACACCAGTATGAAGGGATGTGTTGATGTGAGTGAGTGCAGGTACAACTGCAGGAGAAAGGGCTTGAAGAAGATGAGATGGAATAGGATCAAGCGGACAAGTAGTAGGATGATTAGAAAGGATGAGTTTGGAGACTTCTGCCTCAGAGAGTGAAGAGAAGGATGTGAACGAGTGTATGTTTGCTGGTAAGATGTGCTTGACAGATTGTGGTGTGGAAAATTGTACACTGATGGTTTTAATTGTATTAATGAAGAACGTTCTTAGTTAATAGTGATATTAACTTATCACTTATTAACGTTATTAGTGATACTGTATATGCTGAATGCTGCACCGCACAGCATGACAAGTTACCGACATGAATATATGCCCCATTGAGGTGAGTTTGATCTTTCACTGTGGAAATGACTATAATAGAATAGAGACAATAGAGTAAAGATAATAGACTAGAGGCAAGAATTCATATAGGATGGAGCTGACATTAAATGAATAAATACAAGATATGGGAGGTATATTCTGCTGATTTTAAATAAATTAATACAACCCGAGTAACTATACCATTTTTCAAGTGTCCACAAAGAAGCCTATGTGCCAAAATTAACAAAATAAATGTATGGTATTTTATATTACAGGGCTGTTGAATGCTTGAATCTGATTGGTAGATGAATGTTCTAAGCTGAGCAATTATTTAGTTCCAGGTAGGCCTTGACCGCATTACAGTTCCATATCAAGAAAACAAATATGACAAACAATAGTATAAAAATGACAAACTATTTCCATGTTTTTTTCCCAATAAATTAACCTTCATTATAGCACACTGTCATACATACAGGTACGGATGCACACACAAACATATACGAGCACAGCCACAGAAACTTGTTGTCAGTGTAGTCTCTTAAAATTATTTTTTATTATTTTGCATTATTTTTCAATAATTCAATGGCCTGTTGTCAATTATTCCTTACCTCATTTTAATTTTCCCAGTGGAAATACATCATTAATTTCATTGTCACTACAATCCCCCAGCATATGGATACGTATGGAGGGCTAAATTACTCAAAATTAAATAATGAAATATACATTATACTATTCTTTTATCATTAAAAAGATAATGAAATAATTAAATACACTAAGTTCTTCAAATAAATCATAAAAATCACTAAGATAAATCAATAAATTTGTCTTTATTTATGTCATCACTTGTCATTTTAGCACTAGTTTGCATAGTTTGATTTTTGGATTTCGATAATTTTGATAATTTGCCAAATTCTGCCCTGCATGCTTTATTATTTGTATGTCTGTCCAAACAAAAAAAGTTGTACCTCAGATCAGTTGATGCGTGTCCTCCCTCAAGTTGTACTGGCTGCTCCATAGACTGGTCACTCTTCATGGACACACAGCTGGGCTCCGGTGAGTTTGATCTGTCACTGTGAAATTGAGTGTAATATAATAGACAAGAGCAGAGATAATAGAGACAATAATTCATAAAGTTACTTTAATATATATAATTGATCTGCCTTGTACCTCAGATAAGTTGATGTGTGTCCTCCCTCAAGTTGTACTGGCTGCTCCATAGACCGGTCACTCTTCATGGACACACAGCTGGGCTCCGGTGAGTTTGATCGCTCCCTAAGGCATTGATTTTAAAAGAATATAGACAACAGAATAGAGACAATAGAACAGAATATAGATAACAAAATAGAGACAAGAATTCATGCAGTTGATTTTTCATGGAAATAAATCTTTAATATGAAAATCTTGTCTATTCAAATATTGATTGTATTTTGATTGTTTATGTTGCTAAGGATGCTGCACAGTGAGACACGGGACGTTTGGGTGAAGCGGTCAGCTGTGCTTTATTGTGAATAAAACACAGCTGTTGACCAATCAGAATCAAGGACTGCAAAGAACTGTTTTATAAAAGTATATTAAAAAGTGACTGGACTGCAACATATCCTTTTATTGAAACTGGTGCTCTGCTGTTTGAAACATTTCACTAGGTACTTTCCCTTTTGTGGCAGAGGCCTTTTATGTCTTACAAATGTGACATATTTATATATGATAATTTGCACAGCTTTCAGAAGGACTGTTTGAGGTTATTAGTAAAGAAATATGGATGAATGAGAAAGTAAAGAGCGGGATATGCTTGATAATAAAAAGTAATATTAAAAGCACAAAAAGAACTGAATCCACTTCTAACAGGATGCTTTCTGTGTGCACGCTCCGAGCAGAACACGGACAAGCATAGTAGCCTTTAGTCTCAGTCTCAGACAGGCCACCTACGAACCGCTAACTGAAAATCTGATGCATATGGCACACAAAACTGGAAACACTTAAGAAATTTTGAAGTCATCATCTGATTGGTTGAATTCTACAAGATTTCTGGGAGACGTGCATATCGCATTCTTTAGCGGTCCGCCTGGAAACAAATCCGTCTTATGCAAGAATTGCAAGGTTCATGGCATTGCACCATTGTTGTAGTAAACTTGCGCGACATTCTTGAATGAATGATTTATTAGTTGCTCACCGGTTTGTTATTGTAGGAACATCAACTTTACATTTTCATGCCCCAAAACACAACGCTAAACAAAATGAACTGTGATTGGTTGCTTTACATGGTGGTCAAATGGCCTCTTGGCTAGTGCTTGGACAAAAAAAATAGTGAGTCCAGATCTTCTGCCGTGGGTCTGAAGGTCTGGCTACGTGTGTCTAAGTAGCCTTTGTAAAAAATACACACAGAAATAAGTCAAAATGCCTGTCTTGGTGTGTATTCATGTAAACAGTCAATGTAAGAACTGTGCAGCACTGTGCGTTGTTCTTCACTCACTCACTCACTCACTCACTCACTCACTCACTCACTCACTCACTCACTCACTCACTCACTCACTCACTCACTCACTCACTCACTCACTCACTCACTCACTCACTCACTCACTCACTCACTCACTCACTCACTCACTCACTCACTCACTCACTCACTCACTCACTCACTCACTCACTCACTCACTCACTCACTCACTCACTCACTCACTCACAAACACAGGCCAAAGAGAATTTATGCTCAACTTTATGCTTTAACTCAACTTCACATTGAAAGCCCTGCACAATTAATTCCATATTGCAACTTACATTATTGTTTGTTGCATATCTGTTTTTAATTGTCTATGGACGTAATAAAGTTACTATTATTGAAATGTTATTGGAAAAAAAAACATGAATTTTATAATCCGCTCTTGCCAGTCTTAGGGCTTCAACAACTGAGAGCAAGGCAGTCTCGGTTGAATGTCCACTTCTGAAACCAGACTGGTTGCTGTCGAGGAGGTTGTTCTGTGTGAGAAAGGCAGAGACTTGGTTGAACACAGCTCATTCAAGTATTTTTGCAATGAAAGGAAGAAGGGAAACCGGTCTGTAGTTCTCTAAAAGAGATGGGTTAAGGGTGGGTTTCTTAAGCAGTGATTTTATACGAGCCTGTTTAAATGCTGAGGGAAAAACACCAGTATGAAGGGATGTGTTGATGTGAGTGAGTGCAGGTACAACTGCAGGAGAAAGGGCTTGAAGAAGATGAGATGGAATAGGATCAAGCGGACAAGTAGTAGGATGATTAGAAAGGATGAGTTTGGAGACTTCTGCCTCAGAGAGTGAAGAGAAGGATGTGAACGAGTGTATGTTTGCTGGTAAGATGTGCTTGACAGATTGTGGTGTGGAAAATTGTACACTGATGGTTTTAATTGTATTAATGAAGAACGTTCTTAGTTAATAGTGATATTAACTTATCACTTATTAACGTTATTAGTGATACTGTATATGCTGAATGCTGCACCGCACAGCATGACAAGTTACCGACATGAATATATGCCCCATTGAGGTGAGTTTGATCTTTCACTGTGGAAATGACTATAATAGAATAGAGACAATAGAGTAAAGATAATAGACTAGAGGCAAGAATTCATATAGGATGGAGCTGACATTAAATGAATAAATACAAGATATGGGAGGTATATTCTGCTGATTTTAAATAAATTAATACAACCCGAGTAACTATACCATTTTTCAAGTGTCCACAAAGAAGCCTATGTGCCAAAATTAACAAAATAAATGTATGGTATTTTATATTACAGGGCTGTTGAATGCTTGAATCTGATTGGTAGATGAATGTTCTAAGCTGAGCAATTATTTAGTTCCAGGTAGGCCTTGACCGCATTACAGTTCCATATCAAGAAAACAAATATGACAAACAATAGTATAAAAATGACAAACTATTTCCATGTTTTTTTCCCAATAAATTAACCTTCATTATAGCACACTGTCATACATACAGGTACGGATGCACACACAAACATATACGAGCACAGCCACAGAAACTTGTTGTCAGTGTAGTCTCTTAAAATTATTTTTTATTATTTTGCATTATTTTTCAATAATTCAATGGCCTGTTGTCAATTATTCCTTACCTCATTTTAATTTTCCCAGTGGAAATACATCATTAATTTCATTGTCACTACAATCCCCCAGCATATGGATACGTATGGAGGGCTAAATTACTCAAAATTAAATAATGAAATATACATTATACTATTCTTTTATCATTAAAAAGATAATGAAATAATTAAATACACTAAGTTCTTCAAATAAATCATAAAAATCACTAAGATAAATCAATAAATTTGTCTTTATTTATGTCATCACTTGTCATTTTAGCACTAGTTTGCATAGTTTGATTTTTGGATTTCGATAATTTTGATAATTTGCCAAATTCTGCCCTGCATGCTTTATTATTTGTATGTCTGTCCAAACAAAAAAAGTTGTACCTCAGATCAGTTGATGCGTGTCCTCCCTCAAGTTGTACTGGCTGCTCCATAGACTGGTCACTCTTCATGGACACACAGCTGGGCTCCGGTGAGTTTGATCTGTCACTGTGAAATTGAGTGTAATATAATAGACAAGAGCAGAGATAATAGAGACAATAATTCATAAAGTTACTTTAATATATATAATTGATCTGCCTTGTACCTCAGATAAGTTGATGTGTGTCCTCCCTCAAGTTGTACTGGCTGCTCCATAGACCGGTCACTCTTCATGGACACACAGCTGGACTCCGGTGAGTTTGATCGCTCCCTAAGGCATTGATTTTAAAAGAATATAGACAACAGAATAGAGACAATAGAACAGAATATAGATAACAAAATAGAGACAAGAATTCATGCAGTTGATTTTTCATGGAAATAAATCTTTAATATGAAAATCTTGTCTATTCAAATATTGATTGTATTTTGATTGTTTATGTTGCTAAGGATGCTGCACAGTGAGACACGGGACGTTTGGGTGAAGCGGTCAGCTGTGCTTTATTGTGAATAAAACACAGCTGTTGACCAATCAGAATCAAGGACTGCAAAGAACTGTTTTATAAAAGTATATTAAAAAGTGACTGGACTGCAACATATCCTTTTATTGAAACTGGTGCTCTGCTGTTTGAAACATTTCACTAGGTACTTTCCCTTTTGTGGCAGAGGCCTTTTATGTCTTACAAATGTGACATATTTATATATGATAATTTGCACAGCTTTCAGAAGGACTGTTTGAGGTTATTAGTAAAGAAATATGGATGAATGAGAAAGTAAAGAGCGGGATATGCTTGATAATAAAAAGTAATATTAAAAGCACAAAAAGAACTGAATCCACTTCTAACAGGATGCTTTCTGTGTGCACGCTCCGAGCAGAACACGGACAAGCATAGTAGCCTTTAGTCTCAGTCTCAGACAGGCCACCTACGAACCGCTAACTGAAAATCTGATGCATATGGCACACAAAACTGGAAACACTTAAGAAATTTTGAAGTCATCATCTGATTGGTTGAATTCTACAAGATTTCTGGGAGACGTGCATATCGCATTCTTTAGCGGTCCGCCTGGAAACAAATCCGTCTTATGCAAGAATTGCAAGGTTCATGGCATTGCACCATTGTTGTAGTAAACTTGCGCGACATTCTTGAATGAATGATTTATTAGTTGCTCACCGGTTTGTTATTGTAGGAACATCAACTTTACATTTTCATGCCCCAAAACACAACGCTAAACAAAATGAACTGTGATTGGTTGCTTTACATGGTGGTCAAATGGCCTCTTGGCTAGTGCTTGGACAAAAAAAATAGTGAGTCCAGATCTTCTGCCGTGGGTCTGAAGGTCTGGCTACGTGTGTCTAAGTAGCCTTTGTAAAAAATACACACAGAAATAAGTCAAAATGCCTGTCTTGGTGTGTATTCATGTAAACAGTCAATGTAAGAACTGTGCAGCACTGTGCGTTGTTCTTCACTCACTCACTCACTCACTCACTCACTCACTCACTCACTCACTCACTCACTCACAAACACAGGCCAAAGAGAATTTATGCTCAACTTTATGCTTTAACTCAACTTCACATTGAAAGCCCTGCACAATTAATTCCATATTGCAACTTACATTATTGTTTGTTGCATATCTGTTTTTAATTGTCTATGGACGTAATAAAGTTACTATTATTGAAATGTTATTGGAAAAAAAAACATGAATTTTATAATCTTAAATTATTTTCTGCTTTGGCTCTTTTGGAAAAATGCATTAACCAAAAAAAAAAACAAAACACTTTGGTCAAAAAAGTTTGCTGACCCGTTCTAGGGAATGCAGATTTTTTTAGGAAACACACAGCTTAAGTAGCTCTTGACCGCATTACATTATCACTCCGGCAAATGATGTCAGTTACTTCAAAGGCCCTTACAGCCTACAACAGCAAAAGAACCAGAACCCACAAAGATACTGACCAAGAAAACAAATATGACAAACAGTAGGATAAATATTACAAACTATTTCCATGTTTTTCACACTAAATTAACCTTCATTATAGCACGTTGTCTTTCTCTGGTTCTACCTCTTTACACACACACACACACACACACACACACACAAGACGCAGACATGGAAACATATACAAAAGTAGCCACAGAAACTTGTTGTCAGCGCTGTCTAGCAGCTTTATGGATGAAACAGTTTCACCATTGAAAAGCTACATGACATTTCTCAGAAGTGAGGTGGTAATGCCGCTGGATTTGAAGCAGTTAAACATACATCTTTGTACTGTATGTTTTCATCTCTTGCTCAGTTGCTGCTACTGAACACTACTGATAGCAATACGGTCTCTCTCTCTCTCGTAACTGCATATCAGTGACTCAAGTCTTTGTTACTAGCTCTAAAATGACGTTTTTGGAATTAGCAACGGAGCCATGAGATGAGATGAGTAGGAATATAGTCCCGCGCACAAGACCGTTTTAAGGACAAAAACCTGACAAATGTCTTGAAATAAAATCTAAACACTAAACGATGCCATGAGGTGTGGTTACCATGATGAAATTAAATTATATAAAAATAATGCATTCTTTTTTAACAGTTCAACAGCTTGTCTCAATTATTAATTACTTCATTTTAATTTTTACTAGTGGCAATGCATCATTTTAATTAAAAAAATGAAACTAATGATTTCACAATTAATTGTCACTACAATCTCCTAGCATATGGATATGTATGGAGGGCTGAATTACTCAAAATTAAATAATGAAATATTCATTATACTATTCTTTTGTCATTAAAAAGATAATCAAATAATTAAATACACTTGAAATAAATCATAAAATCACCAAATAAATCGATAAATGTCACTTGTGTTACTTGTCAATTTAGCACTAGTTTGCATCTATTTTTAATTTCTCTCTGTCATTGGGTTGATTTTTCCATTTCTTTTTCTAGGTTCAGTATAGGCACGCCACCAAATCGATTTCTTTGGACTTTTTGATTAGTAAGTTTAGGTGTGTTCTTTCACACACCACAGCTTATGACTGAAGGGTCAATAACTCTCAACGCTGTTAAGAACGGACCAGACACTTACAGTAAGCCAGTGTTATTTACAGCATTTATTTCAGCCAGTATTGCCCTTACATTGTCTGTATGAGTAAAAATTATGTTGTTGTCAACAGTTTGGTTCTGCAAGTGTTGTGTTTTATTTTATTTTTTTTACTAAACCTGACATTGTATGTTATGAATATTGATGCTCCAACACAAATTGCTTGTGATTTGTATGTCGCTTTGGATAGAAGCATCTGCTAAATAAATAAATGTAAATTTTGCATTCCACTGTGCTGCTTGTATTAGTTCTGTCAGGACCACTATCGTCAAAGATAACTTACAATTAGCATACATTTTAGGTTGGGGGTATGGTTCTGTTCTGGGCAACACTCCCTGCCCATCCATGCAGCCTAGCATGGATAGGAGCAGGGAGAGCATAAATAACCCCCCTAGGGTAAACTGAACAGAACCAACATTAATGATTAATGTAGCAGATATCATCAATGTTCTAAGTGATTATTACGGTGGCCAAGAAGTGCTAAACAAATCACAATTCTGAACACAAAATAACAAATTACAAACGCAAATGCAAGTCTAAAAAACAAAATAACAATTCAGAAAGCACAACAACAAATCTACCCTAACCCTACCCGATACTTTATTTTCAACTTTTTGATTATTTCCTTCATTTTTATTGAAAATAAATGCCTTTAAGATGTGATACGAGATTTAAAAGGGGAGAAAAAAAAAGTTCGGCAAAAGGCGGGATCGAACCCGGATCGATCGCGTCAAAAAGTCAACGACACGCGCTTATCCATCTGCGTCACTGGAGCTGATGAGTCACAGTCACTTTTAACTAAATGTAAATATACACTCCGTATTTTTTATTTTTTATATCAACATAATTCAGTGGTCTGACTCAAGAAGAAATATCCAATGCCAAGTCCTGACTGGACGAGAGGAGGAGTTGGGGATGGAGGTGGGTGATTAGCTCCTGAGCAAAGCGATAGCTGCTGAATAATGACTGAAAGGACCTTATAAAGGGAATTATGATTGGCGTCATATTCCTATAGGTAGACGTGGATCAGCTGAGTGTCAGCTGATGCGAGCTTGACTAACGTGACCTGCCAGAACTAACGCTACACTCCATAAATTATATTTTAATATAAATGTGCTAGACCGATGTGTTTGGCTTTTGATACTCAGTCTCGTTTCTTTTTCAGCATTTTGCATATGACTGCCACGTTTTTAAAATACTGTGTCGAGTTAATAAAGCAATAAGCCACAATTATCCATTATTTAAAGTAATTTTAGACCAATTACGGTGTTAAGAAGCCTGAAATCACATTGGATTCATTTGGACTGATGAAAATCTCTGTCTGGACAGCATTCTTGCAATGAACGTTTCTGAGAAGAGCAATTATACAACATTTTAAGATGAAGACTCAAAGAATCAGACACTGCTGCTTTTTACATAACACATTTGCCATTATTACGATACAGCTTGGTTTGTTGGTCCATTGGGTCAGATTGCTTTCTCACCACCACCACGTCAAGAACATCAGTGATGGGGGTCAGTAATGAAATATCAGGACTGAAGCTCTGAACCAGATAGGAACCTGATCCTGTATTCAACTCTACTGTAGAGCCTTACAATAATATGAGTGGAGGTCACTGAGTTTTAATTGCTTCCAGATTTTGATTGATTTCTTGATTTTGTAAGTTTGATAATTTGCCAAATTCTGCTCTGCATGCTTTATTAGTTGTATGTCTGTCCAAACAAAAAAAGTTATACCTCAGATCAGTTGGTGTGTGTCCTCCCTCAAGTTGTACTGGCTGCTCCATAGACTGGTCACTCTTCATGGACACACAGCTGGGCTCCGGTGAGTTTGATCTGTCACTGTGAAATTGAGTGTAATATAATAGACAAGAGCAGAGATAATAGAGACAATAATTCATAAAGTTACTTTAATATATATAATTGATCTGCCTTGTACCTCAGATAAGTTGATGTGTGTCCTCCCTCAAGTTGTACTGGCTGCTCCATAGACCGGTCACTCTTCATGGACACACAGCTGGACTCCGGTGAGTTTGATCGCTCCCTAAGGCATTGATTTTAAAAGAATATAGACAACAGAATAGAGACAATAGAACATAATATAGATAACAAAATAGAGACAAGAATTCATGAAGCTGATTTTTCATAGAAATAAATAATATGAAAATCTTGTCTATTCAAAAGAAGCTTAGGAAATGTTGAAGAGCGATGATGTTCTCCAGAGATACTATCTATATATCTATCTATCTATCTATCTATCTATCTATATATCCATCTATCCATCTATCTATATATCCATCTATCCATCTATCTGTCTATCTAACTGCCTGCCTGCCTGTCTGTCTGTCTGTCTGTCTGTCTGTCTATCTATCTATCTATCTATCTATCTATCTATCTCCCTGTAAACGGGGCATACAATGTATTTTCTGTAAAATTAAGATCATATGAAGACTTGAATGTACCTGCATTCTGGAGAAATATCTTGTTTTAATGTTTGTTTGTCCTCCATGATTTAGTCAGTCTTCATGGAGCTGCATCTGTATGCTTGATGAGTCAAAAACATTGATTGAGACAAAATGACATACAAAACACAAAAGATACAAATTTATGAATCTGAAATGTTCTGTTTACTTATAGGGACTCAAGCTGCTCAGTGTTGTTACATTTTTGTTGCAGTTAGCTTACAATGTTTTAATACAGGCTAAAAACTACACTTGCAGTACAAAGAAAAACAAATAAATATTGTAACCAAAACATGATGCACAGAATTTGAGTTAAAAAAGTGACCAAACCGCACGCAACATTAAGAAAAGTTACATTCTAAAAAAAAACACTAAAGTTTTATATTTGCAGTCTCTGCAAAGGCATGTTACTTGATAATGAAGTTTAGCCATAAAACATTACACAAAAATGATTTTCAGCATGACCTAACATTTGCTAAGTGCTAAACTAAATATGTAATACTTCGGTTGCAGTAGTAATTTGTAGAGGTGACATGGGGAGTGTTGTAACATCATCCTTTTAACGCATTAGAAATGAGCTACATGGTGAATGAAGAAAACTCAAAATATTAATTATTTGGCTATAAAGAGATCTCTCTCTCTAGTAGTGTTCTCCTTTCTAAAGCAGAAGGTCTTTCCCATGTTGTGTATCCATCACTTTTTCTGTAAGTGAAAGATTATACTGCTAAAGGTTTAAATAAAAATTTCCTTGACTGGAAAAACAGGTTACTTAAAAAAGCAGTGATTTCCAACAGCAGAAGTGATGGGGGACTGGAAGGTAAAACATTTCATAACACTATTAATCCTTTTTTTGCTAATTGTTTTTTTAGATAAATAATTTATATCCATTCTTTATTGGATGATTTTGGTAACGTCTTGTCTTATAAACAATCCATGATTGTCCATGACTTCCCTATTCCTTGTAGAGAATATAATACTGTGCTTAGATGCATTTCCACAGGTTTAGTGCAGCTGGTTAAGGGCCATATATAGCTAGCAGGATACAAAGGAGTTGACTTTGTCAGGAAATGTAATAATAAACATATCCGCCAGATCTTTAAGAAGAGAGACAGAATTTTTCTTTTAGAGGCAGATCCCATTAGGCTGTCTTAATTGACAACATATAGACTGGAGAAGAGCATGGCTGTAAACCCATACATATTTTATTCTCAACAAGACCAAAGATGTCCACTTTAATATACTGCATTAATTCAGCAGTGTCCAAATATTCTGATATTTCTGGCACTTGTACGTTTTGTGGATGAAACATTGAATAAGATGAAACAATTATATATTTATTATATTCTGGTGAATTGATTCAAAAGTTTTTGTCTAACTTATATTAACATTTAAATAAACCTCCCATATTTGCACAGTCCTTTAATTTGAAAGATATTATTTGTTATTATACTGACTATATATAATATTTCACTCTTTTCAAGTTTTTCTTTATCCATAAACAAAAATGTTGGGGCAAAAATGTATTTATTTTTTTGACTCACTGTGCAAGTCTCTTTGTTTATTGCTATAAAAATGTGATAGATTCCTCAAACAATTAGTTTTTTTTTGTAAAGATTTGATTAAAGACTTGATTAAGTTTAACCAGCATACTTCCTGTTTTCATTTGTTTATTTTTAATTAACTTTCTCTTGTTAGCATTATTTCGCCATAGAATATGTATGGTACTTAACCCTTTATCTTTGTCTTTTACTTTAATTTTTTTATCTGTCCTCTTCATACATATGTATGTACATGATTATCCTTTTTTTCTTTTGGTTATCTGATTGTACATACAAATGTTTTTGTTGAAGCAAAATAAATAAAATCAATTAATTACTAACTGTTTAACAATTAATCGTTTTATTTTAAGAAGAGTATATTCAATAGTTTTTCAACTCTTCTTAAAAAGACATTTTTTAACGTATTTAAATGCTTAATTTAGATGAAATGTTTTCTTCATAGAGTGAATTTTAAAATACATTCCATTAAATTGAAACACACACACCCACACCCATACACACACAGACGTTAAAGCGAAAATTGTTAGGCTTTTTTGGTAAACCAAATATTTAAACTTCACGTCGTATTTTGGTTACATTATAATTTTTGTTTTAGATGTGGTTTCCAGAGCGACGTTTAAACTATAGCCTAATGTTCCCAATCTGTAGCCTACTGAAAATTTAAGCATATAGCATTTTAGTAGTTCTTTATCAGTCCACCAAAGCCAATTAATATATGATGATCAAGATGTTTCCTTAAGTGATTCATGTTAATGATTAAGTTAGTATTTTACGGAGAGGCCTATAACGAGGAAGTCACTTCACACACCTCGCCTGAAGACTCATTGGTTTAATCGACATATTTGTCTACTCAACACAGGCTCCCAAAATGTTCCTGATTTCTCATCTACTTACACGTAAAATCCTACATAAACATCTAAAATAAGTACTGTTAGACACTTTGATGCGCAGTTTTTCCCCCCGATTAAAATAGTTTATATAAAAAAAAAAATCGAGGCTACTTTCGCTTTGAGTCTGCTGCATAAGCTGCTTGGAGGAAGAAAAAAAAAGGCACATCGATCAACATTTAGAAATATAACCTTTATATAGGCCTAAATTTTTGTTACAGTTATGTTCAATTTAGATTTGTATAACTATTTTTTTTAATCAAAATTGTCGCTGAATGTCAGTAAATGTATATTAAAATTGCAGACGTTTGTTATACTTTTCTTTTGTGATTTCACTACAACGAAAAAACAAGGAAAAGTGTCGAGTGAAGCGCATGCTTAATGTTTCTTTATTGTCTTATGCGTTAAAGTATAGGCCTATTTCGCCTGCTTAAACCAATGATATTCGCATTTTTAGCTAACCCCACCTGGAGACTCACCTTGAACGAAATGTGACGTTACAGCTTCTCAAAATTTTTATATCCCATCAAGTAGAAATTCCTGCACAAGCTACTATTAAATATTAGGCTACAATTAAACATAAACATTCGGCTACTAAACGTAGATTCTCGGTTTTTCTGATCTCGTTATGCTCCGGTGTAAAATGACGCATGCAAAACTGGCTATACTTTCACTTTCACGTAGTGAAATATGCTTGCCCATCCTGACTGGAAAGAACAATCCAGCTCATTCCATCCCTAGACAGCTTAGTTATGAGAGGGAATAAAGAGTAATACTTAACCAGTCTTGACCGCTACATTTTCAAAATTATTCCATGTTTTGGCAAAAAAAAAAAAAAAAAGTAGGCTACTTATAAATAGCCTACAAGTTTGGGGGTAGCCAAGGCTTTATAAGCTTTAAAGGTCATGAATATTAAGTTATGCGCGATCATCAGCAAGATAATAACATCTTGTAACTTGTGTGAAGCTCAGAAGTACTAACAACTGACGTGTTTTAATGTTAATCTGTGGGATGTTCTGGACACGACCTGTTGACCTCAAACCAGATGGTGTCCCCCTGAACCATGTCATCCAGACATATCGAACACTCGCCAGAGTCCCGGGACAAAACATCATCTACAGAAAGAGAAAACATCACAACATCACTATCAGCATCAGAGAAGCTCAGAGCAACAGCTAATGACACATGGGGCGCTGTTACACAACAAAACAAATGTTCCCTTTCAAGGGAACTTCGAACTGCGTCCTCTAGGGGTCGCTATGCAGGGGAACGCCTCGTCGTGACCCGTGTCTGAAGCATACAATGAAAAAACACCAACAACACGTTGGCCGGCGACAGCCCATGACGTCACTACCGGTGCGACTATAGTATAAATAGGCGCCAGGAGAACATGTCATTCTCTTCTTCGTCTTCACTGAGCGTTTTGTTTGAAGCGTGCATTTCCGTGGTAAGAGCGATCTATATTCCTATCGTTATGGCGAGCACTAGCAAAGCGTTTAGAGGGTGTGTGCATCCGCGTCGTAATTATTTGACACCTGATGACACACACGATCTCTGCGTTGTTTGCTTGGGCAAAGAGCACGCACGCGATGTCCTTAAGGGGGCAGTCCGCGTTCATTGTGAGCGTATTTTAATGAAAAGCTCCGCTCTCGTTTGTCTCTCTTTTCGAGGAAAGGGGG